ACTAGGGGTGAGTATTGACATGGTTGTTGCAATACCATACGTGTCACGATACTTGGGTCACGATACATTATATTATCACGATATTGCAATATTTTTCCGCCCTATAGTTATTTCGGGATCTATGTAGTTAGGGGTTAGTGTCAGTCATCGTCTTCCAATGTGAGCACCTCACATACAGATTTATGGCACTGCGCTGCACAGCAAAAGGGCTCACAGCTCTATCTGCAAGAGTGGCAGGTAAAATGTTTTGTTTTAAAAAAAAAAATCAGTATTAGGAACTGGAAAATCAATATTATATCGGGCACCCACAAATCACAATATAAAGCCAAATCGATTTTTTGCCAAACCCCTAGTTACAACAGGGTTGTAAAAAACAGGCTTTTCAGCTTTTATTTTCATGAAAACATTGTCAGTAAAACCATTTTTGTTTTGCAGCTTTTTTCTTCTACTTTGTTGTAAAAAAAAAAAGACAAAATACCCACTTTGTAGTTGAGTAAAGCTAACTTAAGTAGATATTTATTCTGTGCAGTTATCCTTTTTTTGTTTTTCAATTCTTTTCCATTTTGAATAACTGCACTTTCCTGGTAGTAAAGCATCTCCAATTAAAAACTCTTTGTGCTTGTACATTATTTTCTGAGTTAAAAAGTCAGTTCGAGTTTGCATATTCTTTTTGACTACTAAAAAAGCATTTAATGACATTATAAAAATCTTTAAATATCAAACACATCATTAGGATGCTGTGTGATAGCACCTCCCCCACCCCTCAGTGAGCTTCCTCCCAGATGCTTAAGTAAGTGGCTGGAGTGAAGAGGATGGTTTAAGAGGCACTTATCTGGGATGAATGTTAACATGCAAGAAAAGTGAGGTTGTAAACACACCCATTTATGAGTATCTATGATGCATATCTGAATCTACTGTATTTAAATGCAGCATTTCTGCAACACGTGTCTTTTTAAAGAGTCCTAAATTATTCTATTGGATATTTTTTAATCCTTGCGTCTTTCATGAATTTCTTTTTTGGCATCATTGACTAAAGAACTAATTACTTCTCAGCACCAATATAATCTAGCGCAAATGCAATAGGTGTAGGTAGTAAAAATGTGGCTGCCAGGTTTTCATTATGGTTATATTGATTAGATATGACATATATATAAGTTGAAAGGTATACATTTTACAGTGTTGAAGGATAAAAAAAGGGTGAAAAATTAGAAACAGGTTTGAAATAAATGTAAAGTCCAATTAATTTTAGGACAAACAGTAAAGTAGAGATGGAATTGTAAAGTTAATTATTTATGGTTAAATAGATCAATAAAGATTATATATACACTACCATTCAAAAAATTGGGGACACATTGAAATGTCCTTATTTTTAAAGGAAAAGCACTGTACTTTTCAATGAAGATAACTTTAAACTAGTCTTAACTTTAAAGAAATAAACTCGATACATTGCTAATGTGGTAAATGACTATTCTAGCTGCAAATGTCTGGTTTTTGGTGCAATATAATATACATCAGTTTATAGAGATCCATTTCCAGCAACTATCACACCAGTGTTCTAATGGTACAATGTGTTTGCTCATTGGCTCAGAAGGCTAATTGATGATTAGAAAATCCTTATGCAATCATGTTCACACATCTGAAAACAGTTTAGCTCATTACAAAAGCTACAAAACTGACCTTCCTTTGAGCAGATTGAGTTTCTGGAGCATCACATTTGTGGGGTCAAATAAACGCTCAAAATGGCCAAAAAAAGACAACTTTCATCTGAAAGTCGACAGTCTATTCTTGTTCTTAGAAATTAAGGCTATTCCATGCAAGAAATTGCTAAGAAATTGAAGACTTCCTACAACGGTGTGTACTACTCCCTTCAGAGGACACGCAAACAGGCTACTGTGGGTACTATTAAATGAAGATGCCATTTGGGGACCCGTGAGGCGTCTGTTTCTCAAACTAGAGACTCTAATGTACTTATCTTCTTGCTCAGTTGTGCAACGTGGCCTCCCACTTCTTTTCCTTCAAAAATAAGGACATTACCCCAAACTTTTAAACGGTGGTGTAGATATACAAACACATAAAAAACTAAAAACTTTTGGTCAAACATTGAAGGATTAAAATGTAAAATCTTATTATTGCCCTTACCACAGAATCACTAATGTGTATGATGCATTTCAAAGACATAAAAACACATAGCTTGAAGCAAATAATACTCTGACATATCCCTTCTATACATCTTATACTGTAGCTGCTACAATTTAATCTCTACCAGCAAAACATTTTTTAGACCTGTTATGAAATATGTGGCATAAGCATCAAAATATAAATATATGACAAATTTACTGAAGTGCTAGGGAAATATAGCAGTAAAGACTTAGTAGTAATACCAAACCGAATGCAATGACATTCATACCTCAAGTTTAAATATTTTAAGATCACCAAATCGTGCCAAATGGTTGAATGCTTGATTGATTTAGTTTCAAATTACCTGACCACTAGGGGAACAAATAGTATATCACATGCAACTATACAAATGTTTGTTTCAGTTTAAATTGGATTGGATGGAAAACATATCCAATCAAGATGCATGTATACAAACATAAATATTTCTCATCTTTGTTTTCCAAATAATCCAGGTTAAAGGTATAATGGAGGTTGTTCTTTTTTCAGGTAGATCATCAAAATAAGTGGTCCTCCTAATTGTCAATCATTCTGGTGATATGTTTACGTAATGCCCATTTTCACTTACCAGTGGTGAGTCTGACAGTGGAAAAATAGCAAATTTTCTTTTGGAAAGTAAGCTTGTATGAGCGTTGCAAACAGCAAATTTTAAACGAGGAGAAATTGGCCCGTGTACGCTTTCTGAAATCCCATTTTTTTTATAAAGTGTAAGGGGCAGGTCTTTTCAAAAATTCGCAAAAATCCTCCACTATACCTTTAAGACAGCACATGGTGTCTTCAAAGAGGACAAGCAGTGTTTTCAACTTGAAATGCTTAAATGTTCTTGAATGAAATAAAATGTTCTCCCGAGCATAGTCCTATGAAGTTATATAGAATGAATGATTACATTGATATACAGGAAAAATAGAAAAACACAATGAATGACACATAGATACAAACATACCCTTTAAAACAATCCCAGTCTAAAATGGAGACAGGTTTAGTATATGACAGAGATGCAAAAAGGTAATTAATCTCAAATATTTTGTTTAAATCCATTATTTCACAATGAGATTATAATCATCACAGCTAGATTGAAGGAAGTGATCAAACGCTCTGATTATCAGTTTACTTTGCAGCCTGATGCACCATGGAGCTAAAAGGGTAAAAACATCCCCACCATCACTGAGTGTTTTCCACCAAAAGCTTCAGCTGATTTATTCTAGACACATCACACACACACCCATTTATATTTATATTCAGCTCGAGGTGGCTTTCCAGGGTTATTGGGGAATTAAGGGGGATTACACGCAGTGACACCAGCGACTAATCTGGGAACACTGGTCATTAGTTGGTTTTGCATATTGGATTTTATTTTTTTTTTCTTTATTGTTTGATACCATAGTCTGGTATCAACGTGCCATTAAGCTGCAGCTGCTGAATAAACAACATTAAAATTGAATATGTGATTACAATAAAAAGCCCTACAACTTTTGCTAACAATTTCACGCTTGTCATGATAAAAACAAATCTGGAATCTTCTGACCTTTTTAGTTCCTAAACCTTGTCATGCTGCTGAAATTATTAGCAGGACTCGGAATTGAAAAATATTTCTTAAGATTCCTTTTCCTTCATCCGTTCCAACATGTTTCATTTCCTACCCTGTTTAACCCATTTATTATTTCTTCAGATGTCTAATGGGATATTTAGTCGACAAAGAGATCCCAGATGGTCAAACTAAGCCAAAAACCTGCATCTGCTAGTATGTGCATTCATTAGGGTTCGTTAAGAAATTGAGTTTTACAGCACAAGGCTAGACGTGGCAATAGACCACAGTGTGACCACAGAGATGGGGAAGAATGGCTGCAATGGAAAAAAGAAAACAACCACAGGCACTAAACCACTTCTCTAATTAGATTACTTTTTCAACCAGTTAAAATCAAAATACTGACTGCTTTTTTCTTCTACATTAAACCACAAGACTGCAGCATGCTTCCTGCAGATATATCACGATTTTACACCTCTGGCAGGAACATCTCAGGGACCTGCTCAGCCTTGTTTCCATTCAGCAGTGCTGTGACCATAAAGTAACGTGAAACAGATGTGATGTGAAAACCAGATGAAGAAAGTATAAATGTATTTACAGTCAAGGCAGTTTGGAGATATAGGTTGTCTCTTTTGGACTTGCAAACATTTAAAACGCAATTGACTAGGCTTAATTGGGACAGTGGTTAAACACGTGAACTTGTGGTGGATTGCAGCTGCAGTTAACTGCACCTCATGAGGGATTGTAGTGGAAAAGGACAGGAATTCATGACTATAAAATATTTGACAAAAAAATTCTAAACGTGTAAAATTTTCACATTTCTTAAATTTCAAAATTTGCTGTAGAACTTGTTTTAATCAAACCTCTAAGTCTTTTGAGATATGTCTCTACCAGCTGTTTAACAGGTTTAAATGAGAGACAACTCGATTTAAGCTCAGTTTTTCTAAAAGTCCCTTAGCCTCCAGTTTTAGCCTTGATTCTTTGTTTCCATGGAGACTTGGACATTGGCTAGGCCTTCACATTTCTTTCAAGAACCTATTGCAAGTCTTGTGTAAAAGGCCAGATGTTTTGGTGTGCTCGGCCAATTGTTGCCCTCTCAACAGATTCAGCTACCAAAACTTTCTGCAGCTCTCTCTACCTTAATCATTACGATGGATGTTGAGGGAGCAGTTTCACCAATCAACACACAAAAGCTAAAAAAAAAGTCTAGCATCTTCTCACTATAATGGCAGAGATCATATAGGTACACAATCACCTGCACGGATACGTTTTGAAGTTCTAGCCAGCTGTTTGTGCTTACCTTGTGATTCTTCCCATGCCTGTAGACCATCCAGTCTTCCCCATTAGTGCTCACCTCCAGCTTGAAGGTGGTGACGTAATAAACATTTTTAGTTTCCTTTGAGATGGCGCCTTGAGTAGCAATGCCTGTGAGGACCTTTAGAGTATGGAGGTCCACCTGTTGATAAAAGAAGGAGAATTTTACTTTTGAAAATGTCTTGTTGATTTGTTGGTGGGAAAAATGTTTAACAGAAAAACTCCTGCACTTTACAGCATTCTGCTTTATTTTATTTAGTTTTTTATTACCCCTCCTTATCTGCTCCTCTGAGTTTCTTGGACTGCTGCTGCTCTCTCCCAACAAATCGATTGTTATGACCCGGGGCTCTTTTTAATTTCCTCACCTTCAATAAGCATAATCACCTCCTATGCTAATTGTGGATATTTGGCTTTCTGCCTGTTATGCTACTGGCTGTGTTGTGATGAATGTACAGGGATGCAACAGATAACGATTTGTCTTTATGGTCTTGAATTATTTCAGCTTTCTAAAGTAGACATTTGAACTTAATGCCCTGGTTTAAATCCCACAGAGTGCCACTGTGAATCGCAGAGAAAACCCTTAGACCCAGAATGCTCTTTGGGTAATGCTAAATGAAAGCCCCCAAACGAAGGGTTAAATGCAGAGGACAAATTTCCTTTCATTGCATAAAATTGCACCAATCAATTAAGATAATTATTATTATCATCATTATAAATAAGCAAACACTATGAAATATTTTATGGAAGAATATCTGGAAAGAAAAACTAAAAAAAAAGGTAATATATTTTTTTGGGGAAAAAAGCAGTCTGTACTTGAGTTGAACATCTTATATTTAAATTGACTAGGTATCCAAATTAAGCTTTTTTTAAAGCCTGTTCTTGCTATATCTACATACTGATTTATCTATACAATGATTAATTGTTTAATCAATAAAGGCAGCCTATCAATTAGCAAGTTAGACAAACTGTGACACTACCACCAAGATGTTTTGTAATGATGGAATGATTATCCAATAATAGAACTATAAGTAATGCATGGTATGACTACTGTCCAATAGCTTTATCTGCATCTGATTTAACCAAAATTAAATGCATGGCTAAAAACCAAAAATGTATCATCAATAACAGAAACCACAATAAAAACAACCCCAGAGAAATAATCAGTCAATGTTTGAAAAAAAGTTTCCTTATACATGAACTTCAGAGTTTGGTTATCTGAATTCAAGACAGACAGATAGAGATGAAAAAAGTCCCTTTTGTTGGTCAAAACATTTATTCTCCTCCAAAAGAGCTGCTGAAAGTTGGAGATTAATCTGAGGCTGCTGTGCGAATGTGTGCTGTTATGTCCCACACGGGTAAGGTACAAAACACCAGGGGAGGGAAAATGCAGCGTTTGTTATCTGTCAAGAAGACAGGTGTTTTAGATTACTTGCAACACACACACATACACACACGCTTCTGCACCAGTAGGGCATGAACAAGATCTACCAAGACAACTAATCAATAGTTCAGGGTAGAGGATGAGGGGAGAGGAGACGGAGAGGTAAGGAGAAAGGTAGAGGGAGAATAAGGAAAACAGAGGTAAAGAACAGATGAAAAAGAGAGAAATGCTAAGTGCGCTTTCCCAGGGAAGGTTCCTCATCAATCACAGAGTTGTTAGAATAACAGAGCCACAAGAACTCCACAATCAAACTGCATCGCACCAACAGAATAGAAAAGAATAGAATTTTTCCTCGAATCATTGTTGAAGTACTACGAGGATTAATTATTTTCCCCAAGCAAAGTCCCACATTCATTTTAAGATATTAAAGACAATAAGAGACATAATCTAATTAGGTGACATGCAGTGGCATTGATCACAGCTGCTTACGAAGAACATTAGAGTTACGACATTTTTTATTCAGTATTACAGCAACAAGGCAGCACGTCTTCTGCTCTTTCATGACAACATACATACTGGCAGAGTCAGATACAAGCAGTTAATTTATACATCAATCTTAATCTGGCTTAAATTATACTCATAATTATGTTAATTAATACAAAACATATATTGCATTATAAAAACATTTTTATTATTAATACTAATAACAAGGTTGAATTAACACTGGTGACTAGACTGATTACTGTAAGTCCTGAAATAAAAAATAACTACACCCACTTAGCACTTCATTATGTCACACATTATGAGAGTCTGTTTAACATCACACTTCACACACTGGCATAGATTCAACATGCTGTCTGAACCATTCTCCAGATATTTTAGTCCATATTGATGGTAGCTGGTTTCTGCAGATATGTTGACTGGATATCACTATGGGAAGCATTTTTTTTCTCTCGCACATTCAAAGGTGTTATATTGAAGTGAGACTTTGGGCATGTGATGGATCAGAACATATTTTAGGGTCAAGAAGACAGTATGAAGTTACTTGAACTTTGAGATTTTAATCTCAATGACATAACTGAATTAAATAGAATAAAATCTTTTTTGGACAAGCCAATAAACACATGGAAATTGTCATTCGCAATACTGAAGTTGACCGTTGGGCTCAAATGATATTCAATTAGTACTCTTGTATGGAGCTAAATATTTAAACCTTAAAAAATACTTTTTCACAACTATGATTTAACCATGGTGATCTTAATCAGGTTTTATCTTTTTTTTTTTGCTTAAGCAAAATATATGGCCCCATTTCAGCTCAAATCTGAATGGCCAAAGCATGTCAGTACTTAGACAAATCTGGAAAAAAAAACTAAACACCAAAAATAAAAAAGACAGGCACAAATACAAGCAAAAGTAACATAAACATAATCCATTAAAAAGGTTACGTTATCGATAATATAACCAAAAGATCTACAGTATACATAAAAATCAAAGCCTAAACCTAAATATGTTTTCTTGGATAGTTGAGTCACTGATCTATAGAGAATGAGTTCCAACTACATAGCCAGTTCTGATAAATAACTCTGTTTCTAAAATCTCATTAAATAATTTCATAGTCACTGCTAAGTTTCCGATTTCAACCCACCTCTGCAAGCTCTAATGACATAATAGGCAGGTATCAGAAACACTGGAACAAACTTATATAGAAGCAAAGTCACTAAAGGAAAGCAGAATCCTGAATTGTCTTTGTATTACAGCATTTGGTGCTTGTAAAGATTATAGAGTAGAAAAGATAACCCTCCTGAAACTAAATCAATCTTCCTTTAAGTTCATACGTCTCTAAACCTCGAACGTGAAGCTTTAGGCTGGCTTTGGAAGATTCTCCAAAGGTGCCAACCATCACCATAATCTATTGTTAACGGTCTGCAGCGGTATAAAAAGTCCTGTTTTTTTGCTGGCCTGGCTGAACCTTAACTTCACTTTCTCCCTCTGAGCCAGACAGCCTCATAACTCAAGCTTAGCTCAGGGACAAAATAAAGCTGGCACTATGACAGAACGCCGGAAACAAAGCCTCACATACCCTGGCTGCTAAACCCAAACAACACCATAGCTCCCTCCTACTCACAGCTATCTCTCCTTTTAACACTGACACAAATATATCAGTGAGAGGGTTATTATGTCAACAGCGGATAAAGATTGAGGACCATCTTTGTTCAGGTTATTAAAAGGAAGATTTTCCCTTTTTATGACATCAGCTTTTAAAGACGTAATGTTCAAATTAGGGCTAAAATCTAATCCAAGAAACCTAATTTTGGTTGGTTAAGTTTAGAAAAACCCATGGGAAATGTTTCCAACATGAAAGAAAGACTATGTCCAGCAATCCTTCTTCAAAAGGAATTAAGATGAAAAGTAAAATTCTGAAGGTGATCAAATTTACTTGGTTAATTCAATTTAAAGCAAGTCTGACCATGTTAAAAATCAGGAGTTTGTTGGTCGTAAGATTACAACTGTGTATTACCAGAAAGTCAGGGAGAAAAGACAGCAACGAAGTAGAGAAAAACTATCTGGCACTAGTCAATCAGGGAAGATTATAAGGTCATCGACAGAAAAAAAAAAAAATGCAAGGGTTATGAAAGATTAAAAACAAACAGGAAGCTGCCAATCTTCCTAGAAGTTACTGTCACAGAAAACCCACCCCAAGGGCAGACAGCACAATGTAGAAACAAAAGCAAAACACAAGCTGTATGGCACTCTACAAACCTCATTTAGATTGATAAAGGTTGTTTCACATCAATACAACAGCAGCTAAATCAGAAAAGTATTGCCCGGCTTGTACCAGGAAACAGCTTCTTATGTCTAAAAGGAAGGACGAAGCTGCATCTCACTAATGTAAAGCCAAAATGATGTGCCTTTTTTGGACGAGACAAAGAAAAGCAACAATGAAAAGCTCCAGGTTTGTTGAAAAACCAAAGACACGCTAATAACCTGTACCATGTATCAGTTGCAGGGGAATGAAAAATAATTTGACAAAAATTTGAAATTAAATAAAGCTATCATTGATTTTAAGCGAATGCTTTTGGGAATTTTATATTTTTAGTCTAATCTTAGCCCACTTTTTGACTGTCTGGGTCCAAACCCAGACAAAACGTGTAGATTTAAATAATGGTTCTGAATAGACATTTACAGTAATTGACTGCTGCTGAGTTGGCTGAAATAAGATGATCAACAGGGATATAATGCTAGAATGATGAACAAAACTGCAAAAAGAAATGGTAATAGCAGTTTTAACAACCCAACAAAAGTCAGGACCTCAATCAGTTTAAAGTGTAGAGATAATAGCTGAGGATAGCAGTAAATACCTGCAAAACTCCATGAACCAAAAAATGAGCCAAAGTCAAGTCAATGATAGCTGAACAAAAAACACATTTTTAATGACTTTAGTTAAGAGGAAAATTTTACCTGTATGTACTCCCTGTTGTTGTCTTCAGCAGGCGTCCACCCATTTTCTTTAAAATTGAGGCGGGCTTGCCTCGGCAGCCAATTTCCATCCTGGAAACTTGACGAAGCCATGATCTGCTCGTCCGTGATCTTTCCTGACTCCATGCCTAATGCATTGCTGCAGTGGAAAGCTAGAGAAGGAGGAGAGGGATGTTGTAAGGAAATGATTATGACCCAGAACTCATGTTTTATTTCAAAAGTCAACTGGAAACTTTAAACTTACTCTCACTGACTTCCTTGTGTGTCATGTTGTATCGAGCTGAGAAGCCATCTTTAGCCACGGCCATGTCAGTATGGAAGGCGAGTGACAGAATCCCAGTCGATGATTGGATTTCAGGAGGTACCCTTGTCCCACAGTAACGGCCAATCAGAGGGCCCACTGTCAATAGAAATCAATAAATTAGCCAATTTCCACATCAAAAAATCTATTTCGCTGAAAACTGGATACTGTTTTTTAAATGTATACCTATTACTGACCAAATTTCTTACTGTGTTAGACACACAAGATATCTCTCTGCTAAACATCTATAGACTCCGGTAGTGTGGCCAAGTGGTCTATGGTGCTGTCTCGATAGAGGCGTGGGTTCAAATCCCATCACTGCCATATTGGGTTATTGCTGGCCTAGTGGTTGGAGTATTGAGCTTGGGTCCCAGAGGTTCTGAGTTCGAGATCCACTCATTCCCACGGACTGCCACTCTGGGTCCCTGAGCAAGACCCTTAACCTCCACACAATAGCAGCCCACTGCTCCCCAAAGGGAGAGTGAATTTTGTTGCTTTGTACTTGTGACAATGTAATGACAATAAAGTGAAATTCTATTCTATATTCAAATCCTTTAATCCCTCAACCCACAAACTGCTCTTTATCCTTTGTTACCTCCACTGTTTTATCACTCATCTCTGAAGCTCCCTTCAGGCGTGACGTCCGCTCATCAATTCCTGTCTTTACCACTTTTATCTTCATCTATCAAATCCATCTCTGGACTAAACATAGTTTTACAATCTCCATCATAATGAAGGTAGAGATTCTGTATTAACCATACAGTATATTGTAAACATTACTCCACAGTTACACTTTGGATCAAACAATGTAAAGACCTAAATATAAAGAGATGGTTGTGTTTTAATGTCTAAATGTATTGGTGTGTGTACAGAGCTTTTAGAGGGATACCTGAGGTACCAAGATTTATTTTATTCTGATTTCATGAATCGATTCGACTAAATGTAGTTGAAGTGACAAGAAAATGATAGAAGTCCTTCAGGTTTTGATTGAAAATCTAAAACAGTGGCATACATTTCTATTCTGCCCCTTGTATGTAGAGGCATTTTTTACTTTAGTTTTATCTGGTATTCTGGGGCCATTTCTTTATTAGCTTTGCACGGCTAGAGACTAAAATTTATTTTTTCCCCGATTAAGTTCAGTTAAATTACATGGGAGTCATCTATGAACATCTACCTTTAATATATATGATTTTATCTGAACCACTGCATGTTGCAGTGTAGTATTAAGCTCCATATACTATATATTCAGTCCCTTTTTTAGAATAACATTCTCAAAACAGGAGGATCTCATTATCAATTTTCCCAATGCTTTGTCTTCAGGGTAATCTTGAGCCTCTAATAAATCTTGAAGTCCCTCACAGCTCTGATGAATATTTAAGTTTTAATAAAATACAATAAAGTCTGATGGTATTTATTTTATCTGATCTTACTGGTTGGCGTAGGGAATTGATGGGGGGATTAGAAATGCTTTTTCACTTTTTTTATCTAAAAAGAAGATTCCTTCCAGCTCAAAATGATGCCCCAAAAGGTGGCGCTACACTGTATTAACTCAAGGGGGCTGAATAATTTCACGCCCCCAATTTTTCAGTTTTTATTTGTTAAAAAAGTGTAAAATATACAATAAATTTTTTTCCATTTCTTGATTGTGTCCCACTGTATGTTGATTCTTCACAAAAAAATTACAATTTTAAATATTTATGTTTGAAGCCTGATAATTGGCAAAAGGTGCAAAAGTTCAAGGAGGCTTACTTCATGCTTTTGCAAGGCACTGTATACGTCACAAAGAATATTAATAAGGTACACTGCTTAGCTTGTAAATGTAAGGTGGCACAATGTGGAAAAAATAGAATATTTTTTTCCATCCACTCAAGATGTCAGAGCTACGACAGTATACTTCAACTATGTCAGTCACACAAGATCCCACTGCTGCTGGGATAGACATCTATCTTTAAATCCCTTCATCCTTTAACCCTCGAATTTGTCTCTCTCTGCTGATACTTCCACTGTTTTATCACTCCTCTCTATCACTCCCTCCAGCAGCGCTGCCTGCTCATCCTCCTTGTGTCATCACCTCGCTTTTCTTCATCTATCATCTCCATCTCTGGACTAAACACAGTTTTACAACAAGCACTAAAAGCGTAAACATAGTTTTTGTATTAATCTAAGGATGTAAGTGATTCCTGTGCTGTTTTTCCACTCCAGAGGCCTACTGTAGCACAAAATGTGAATGCCTCAACGTAAACAGATGATTGTGATTTACAGCTAGAAGCGTGTGTGTGCGTGGGTGTGTGTGTGTGTGCTTCTGTGTTAGAACAGCAGTGTGTGTAGAAATAGTAAAACATTTATCCTGCAAACTCCTAGCTCCAGAGAGATACATATAAAGAGGAGGAGGAGAGAAAATAGCCGGCGATCGAACTGCGGTATTGATTTTTTCCTTCCCTTTTGGAATGGTTGGATGTTTGAAATACGGCTCTTGACCAAATAATAGCAATAACTCTTTTCTTGTTGGTGGCAAAGAGATGGGAAAACAAGGAAAAAGACAAGTAGAACGAAATAAGAGTAAAATACAGCGCAATTAAACTTTTTTTATTTTTTAAACAAGGCTTCATGTATTTACAGCCTGCTTTACAGACAGGGCTCATCTCATTTCCATCCCATTCCCTAGGTTGATGTATGAGTATGAAAGCAAACAGCTGACTAGTCAGTTGATCTGAGGAGATAAAATCTGAGGATACCAAAGCTTGTATGAACACTGGGGTAAATATATGAACGGTTGAGGCTTATCTCAGTTTTCACCTTATTTAATTTGTTGTTTAAAGTAAAAATTGACTTATAACGCTGCTCATCCCTGCTCCATTAAATGACTAAACTAATTTTAGACTGTGTTTTAAAAACTTCTCCAATTTGTACACAGGTTTAAATGGCCTTTATCATGCAAAATCAGCTTCTTGAGCTTTTACCCATGCTGTGAGGCTTTCCCTTTATCAAAATCACGCCCACAGCCTCATTTCACTTCATTTATGGATATATGAGCAGCGATCCCTCCCTGTCCTGGAAAAAAAGTTGGGGCCATCAATGTTTGACCATCATCATTTTACGTCATTTAACACAAAATCCATCTTAAACTGTAATATGTTTTTGAACCATGTTCCCCTTCCTCATTGTACATAGTAGTTTAGTTTAGTTTTACTAGTCTTAGTTGAGAGTGTTAAACTGAATTATGTTTGACTTGGATCTGAATGATTCTTGTTAATAAACTCTTATATTTTGAGCAGAAGTTGTGGTGAATGTATTCCATGTATGTGCAGAGTTAACTGTTTGACCATAATTAGAGCTCGAATCACTCTTTCATCTATTGTTCTAACACACAGTTAGTAGGGCTGTGTGTCATAAACAGTATATAACAGCTGAAATAATATCTGATTAAATAAGATATTCTACCCCCCCTACAGGGGAGGGCAATAAACATCTTAAAGTATCAGAAACATAAATTCCCAGCTGGCTGGGAATAGAATAAACATAAAATCACAACACTGCAGATTTCAAGTGCATATTGTGCAGAAAAGTAACTACATGCAAAAGTGTTTTTGCCCCCTTCTGTATCACTTATGGTTTTAATTTTTGTTACACCAAGATGTTAAGCAAAAGAAAAGTGCAGTTTCCTTATTTTAAGGAACTGACCAACAGAATGCAGCTATGGTGTATTTAAAATTAGGCATCTAACTGAATGTTTTAAAACAACAGATTGCTTTGCTGTCTTGAAACCTCTGAGGTAATATCACACCATTTACCAGCATGTGTCTTTTGAGAATGAATCAAAGGGCCTCCACCTATGAAATGTCATCCTATTTCATTTTGTTCTCCGTTTTGTAGACTTTCTCTGTTAAAGCATTTTATTCTCCAACTCAAAATGCCGTAAAGCAGCTGTGTCTTTAAGCTCCATTCTTGTAAGCAGCCGTCTTTTCTGCTCTGTCTTGCCCTTGCCCTGCAGGCTGAATTTATTTCTAAAGCTATTCTCATTGCAAGCACATTAAAAAAGAAACCGTCGGTTCTCTTTAAATAATGCTTAATGTTTCTTTGACAATCAACTGTTCAAGATCAAGTGTTTAAGATTTGGCAAGTGGATATATTTTTAACTAATACCATGCAGTTTTAGAAACAACAAAACTCTAAGTATTAATGTAGCCTAAACAAGCCTGAATACAAAATCTGGACAAATTCCTTTCCCCACTTTTCTTTCCCAGTTTCAGAAACCCTGTTTATCCTTTCTCAAAGACAGACCACAAACCTCTCAACCTTAAACCTCAGGCCAACATCTCCTTCTTTGTTCCTGTATTTCCAGCTGCAGAGATGCTTTTATTGCCTTTTCATGAACACTTCCAGCTCCCTCTTTTTCTTTCATTGTTCAAAAGTAGACCCAAGGTCTTGGCAGGATATGGATTATTCCTTGTAGAATATCCCAAGTTTACAAGCAGCTAGACCAGAAATATCTTCACCATATTCCACTTTCCTTCTCACCTCCAGTCTCCTTTTTCCCTTTGCTCAACATCTCCTAATCTTTATTCCCCTTTAGAATTTACTCCAAAACAGGTGCCAGCATCCTGCCTGTAAGCCTAGCTTTTATCTACTGACACATAGCTGCTAAAATAGCATCTGCTCTACTGCAGTCAATAAGGATGTAGGCAGGGCCTGTTTTCTCTGTACCAACTCAAAAGGTATGTGAGGTAGTGCTGGAAATTTCTATAAACAACGTTCAACAAATTTACCAAGAATATCACAAATACTCAGTGTCTTTTAAAATTATTTAAAGTCCTTGAACTTTTCTCAACTTTTTAGATCAATACCAATTTCTATATAATTTCTAGATTCGATATATTCATGTTTATTGCATGGACCAACCTAAAGAAGAACCTAATTGTGAAGTAAAAGTAGGAGGATAGATTGCCTATCCTAATTTATTCTGACATGTCTTAATACAACCCAGAGCAACAAACATACTTCAGAAGACAATTAGATATATTATTCCACGACACTGTGATCTAATCTCAATAAATATTAAATTTTTCTCAAAAAGCCTCAGAGGTTTTATGGCAAATGTTCTTCATGAAAAGCATAGTAGTGACACCATGATTCTGTGGGGAGTGTTTGCTGTCAGAGGGGATAAGCAGGCTGTTCTGAGTTAATACGAACATTGAAAAAGCTATAAATACATTCTTTGAAAGAAAGCTTGTAGGAAACTTTCAGACTTGCCACTTTTTAGATTTATTCAACTTTAAACTTCCTCGTCAGCATGTCATTAAGCCTGATTAGCACTAATTAAAATGATTCTGGTGAACTAGAGTAAAAAAATGATCTAGTGGTAGTTCTTGAGGACTGAGTTTAATTAAAGCTTATAATTCCATGATAAACTTGTAGCTGTAATTGAAGCAAAAGGTTATTCTACAATGTCGAACATCAAGGGAGCTAAATGATTTGTGTTTATTAAAAAAAGAAAACTATAGATAAGTCTTCATCGCTTCATCACAACTTCCTAATTTGTTGGTGTATCACAAACATAGGAACATAAATTAAAGATCAAACTGTACCTCCAGGTAGTCCGTCCCACACTTCCAACCAGTCATACTTGCAGTCGCCATCACTGCCTGGCAGGGGGTCGTTCTCCAGGTCGAAGGTGAGGAAGGTGAGGGTGACATCCATGCTGGGGGGTACAATGATGATGAAGGAGCACTCCAGGTTGTGTGGGTATTTGTCGGGGAAGCCTGGGGACTCAATCAGCCCTGTGCGACTGGTGAAATTACGAGAACAGTCTGAGCCTAGAAAGAAAACAAACCAAAAACAAATGGTCAACTTAAAAGATCAAATAAGTCAAAACAGAACTTTCCACAGTTTTTATTTATTTATTTATTTTTTTAGATCCTTGTACAGTAGGAACAATTACTTTCCAGAACGTATTGGATTCCATCCTAACAAGCCTTGGGTGTTAGTATAGAACACGCTAACTTCTTGCATACAGTTGATACCATCAAAGAATCATGAAAGTTAGAGAACTATTAATTTGGGCTTTATTCATTTTTAACCCTGCAGCCTTCAGTTTACTTTTCCTTAATTTTGATGTTACTTTCCCAAAGCTTAAAAGATGCTTTTACGTCTTACAGTCAGAAACCAATTAGTTCATCTTAACGAGTTGAAATGGGTCAACCTGAAAATCTGATTTTTTTTTTTATGTTAAACATGTGTATTGGTGTTTAGCTTCAGCTAAAACTCGTTGAAAAAATCCACACTATGAAAGTAGATTGTATTTTTTCTTGCAAGCTCTTTGGTCAAACATGAAAAGCCCACAAGAGCCCCTTACAAAATTAATGCCATTTGTAGAAGGATGCAAACATTTGCCTTTCTTTTACCACTTCAATCTCTATTCCACTAAAGGGGGCGATTCTAACAAACAGGGACTCACCCGCAAGCAGTCAGCATGTCTTTTTTAACCATTTACCTACTGTGTAAGAGACAGGAAGCAAAGGTAAATAAAACATGGAGGATTGCTAATGTACTTATGCTACCTCATGCCACAAAAACAGTTTCTTCCCATCCGCTACCAGCCTTATCAACATGGCCCAGAACCCCCCGTGACACTTGAAACTGCCTCTCTCTCTCCCTTATTCATGACCTACAAGCTACACCAACATAGCATCTGCAGACCTTCTGCGTTAAAATAACCCACAGTCTACTGTGTATATAGTATACAGCTATATAATATATATTTGGGGCCCAAAGGTACTCTATTTATTTCATTTATTTATTTCATCAGAGGGCCCGGTGGCGCCAGTGTACGGCAGCCTCGCTTCTGTCAGTGAGCCCCAGGGCAGCTGTGAGTGTGTGTGTGAATGGGTGAATGAATGTAGTGTAAAGCGCTTTGGTCAGGTCTCCTAACTTGAATAAAGGCGCTATATAAGTACATGCCATTTACCATTTACCATTTACCATTTATTAATAAAATTTTTCATAAATAGGATTTAATATCAATTTAAAAACAATTCTATAAGAATTGTACATATAAAATACCTAGTTACGACTCCTTCCAGAGTAGTCATTTACAGTCACTATCCTTTTGGAATATATGTCTTACTCTCCATAATCTTTAAAATGCATCTTTAAGAACTGATGAGAACATTATATTTCATAATGGCACTAATAGGCCGCTTTCTGAGAAGCTACGGGTCGTGATGCTAAACTTTAAGCTCACTTTTTTAATTCAGTGCATGAAATTAATAATTTGTTCCAGTATAGCAACACATAGCTGCTAAAAAAGTAGCTTTTACAATCTAAAAAGTAACATGTGCCACATGTTGCCAGCAAATTGTGGTAAAGCATGGACTAATTCGACTATCCATAACAGTTCTTCATTTTCTACAAAAAACTACCAGACACAACAAAGGCTCAATGGATGGATGTGGAGTACAGAGGATCCCTCTACTATCATCACACATAGAGACCCACACACTCACACAACTGTAATATCCCCCTTATTAACACTCAGATTCATACAGTACATGTTATAGAATGAACACAGTCACACCAATTGGACCATTATTTCAGCTTAGCCAGCCATGTGTGACCAAACCTGACTCTCTCTCACACACACGCCCTCTGTCTAAGCCTCTTATTGTAACCCATTTCTCCCCAGTCTGTTTGGGTGTCTGCTATTGTACTTACATGATTCCATAAAAAAAAGGAGAAGTACGAATACATCACAAGATTGTGTTTATCAAAGCAGTGGGGGAAGCGTTTTTTTTTTTGTTCTAACAACGTGTCTACTAGCCGATTAAGGGCTTGTGTTTTGAACTCAAAGAGCCTGAACTCTTTTTCTTTCAAATGCAAATGAGTGCCTTGCTTTTTCATTGTGAGCGACATGGCAGTTGGAGTCACAGCGTGTCTGTGGAAGTAAAGCTCCAAAGTTAAAGCCTTTAATTTGATAAGGCCGCTTGGAGATCTCCATGGAAACTAGATTTTCATGCAACAAGTACAGTACAGACTGACAGATGCTATGTTTTTAATTCATTCAATTTGGAACATCCAGGCTATTGTAGGGGTAACTAAAGATATTTATCATTTCTCCAACATGTGATTTTTTTTTTTTTATCATCTCCACTGATATTTTTACTTGAGATTAATTGGTTCTGATTTGTCATTTGGATGGCAATGACTGTCACTCTTGCATGAGCATCAGTCACAACAGCTGATGATTTCAGATCATTCTTCCACTGTAACACTGAATAAAATAGCGTTTAGCTAGTAGTTAGTTATAGTATTCAGACTTTTTGTTATCATGATCTTCTTGGCGGCGTAGTGACCTCAGTGGCAGACAAACACACGTTCAGACATAAACACATGAGGTTTCTGTTGCGTCTGGCCCCCATGCAGAGGCAGTTGCTGAATAGCTGAAGGGCTTCGTGACTGTCAGTAAATGTGTGTGTGGCGAGTGCACGCTTGACCAGTTTTGTTGCCAGTAGCGATTTTATTCCCCTCTCATTACTTCATGTTCATAGAGTCTGCAAAAAAAAACACTTACTTATGCCCTCCTTTATCCTGTCTTGTTCGGATCTGTCCTTTCTTTGCATTGAAAGAAACACCTATCCCTACTTCATCGTGTTTCCAGTTGTGCTGCTTTACTTATGTTGTATGTGTTGGAACAGATTAAGTGAAAGAAGCATGGCGGTTTGTGTTTCTTTGTGTGTTGCTGGGCAGATCTGATGCTTATATGTTGTTGATCTCTGGGATTCAGGATGGGGATTGTCGGCATGTCTTTAAATCGTTGGCATGCAACCACTTTGGTTTATTACCGTTCAGTTTGTACAATAATAAGACACAAGATATAGTGAATATAAAAAAATCCAACAAATCTGGTTTTAAACTCCAAGATATTTTATGTAAAGTATGAAAAAAATCCATTTGTTACATTTTTTACAACCTTTAGTGAGACATAAAGTAAATCATTTATAATCAGCTGTGAAGTGAGTGAACAATGCAAGAGATAAAAAGCTGCAATAATTGGATGCATAAGTGTCTTAATTAAATCTTTGTTAAAATATCTTTTGAGTTAATTATAGTATTCAGTCTTCTTTAGCACAAACCGTCATTTATAAAGAATCTGAATGACTTCAAAGGTTCCCTAAAAGAACTATTGTGCATTATATTTGCAGTATGCATTGCTCACACTTACCTCTCCAGCTCTGAACAATAATCATTGATTGGAATGGGATCAAAGCTTTATGAAAGCTAGTCCAGAATAGTATTTAATCGTCCTTTATCCACTTTGTAACTAGTTTGGTGGTGTGCTTAGAGCAAATGAAGACCTGTTTGTGTGTAAAGTCTCAACATTCTGAGAGGATTTTTTGGTATTTATGAAAATAGTTATTTCATTATAATGGCATCTATTTTATGACAAGCTAAAATGTAGCAAAAATTCCACATATCCTAATACTACCTCCACCGTGCCTCAGACATAATGTTCTGTTCTAGCTGATTCAAGCTTTCTCTTTCTCTCTTTGAATATAATGGGTGTCTTATTATCTTAGGTCTACATTTATCAGACCTTCACGAATTAAGATCTTTGCCCCAAGGTGCATATAAAAATTATTTGTTTGAAATAATTTGTTTGTTTTTTATTCAATTGTATTGGACAGACATTTCAGTTTTTGTGAAAAATGTTCCACAATAATTTATCATAGCCTCAGGCTTTTGCAGAATAAAGATCTAACACTGGAACTATAGTGCAGAGACTTTTAACGTCTGCTGTATGTGCAAATTGACAGAAGTTTTAGATTCTTTTATTTGTAAACCTCAAACTTACAGCCCCTCATCTAACACACTCAGTTCACATGCTGAGGTGATTTACTGTAATACACCCACTAAAGGACGCACATTATAGGCGACCACACACAGTTCACCAATACCAATGTGAAAACCAACAGCATTATGCATGTTGGGATACCACCCAGTTGTTATTTTGGTCTGAGGCATGTGCAGCTTAAACTTCCCAGAAACAACCTTTCAGCATTTATATTGGGGTTACGCTTAATTTCTATTTTCAAAAACTTGCAGTTACTGCACTTGCAGCTAAACTCCCACGAACAAATAAAACCAAACTCCAAGACAATTAGCAGCAAAACGATGTCACTTCAGTTTACTGAAGGTTTGAATCCAGCAATATCTTACTGATGCAATTGCTAAAAATGTTTTGAAATTCTCATAATGACATTTAGATAAAGTTTATAATTTCCTACACTCTTTTCAAAGACTGTCTCCCCCTTTTTAATCTATTTCTCTTAACTGCCATACTTTCCTAGCTTCAGATAAACAAACATTTAAGGCTCTAAAATCCTCTATGGGAACATATTCTGAAAAAGCCCTCAGATAAACAAAATTGTGTGAATAAAGTACAGATTTTTGTAATGAAGGATTTGATGTTGCCAGGTTGCTTTAATCAGCAGCCCAGGATACTGCTGGCAACAATCAAAAGCAAAAAAAAAAAAAACATACATACTGTACAGTTCTAGACATATATTATGTTATATTTACACCTTAGGGCAATTAATGCTATAAAACTCTGGGACATTAAAGGATTTACTCAGTTTTCTTTGCTAAGCTCAAGTGACCATGCAATAAACAACTTTTTAAAAGCAATTCTCAGAATAGCCATCAATTGTAAAGGTTGGACTTCTTAATTTTATAATCTTTACAAGGTCAAAACTATATAGCTATCCTATATCCTATACTGTAGGTATAATCCTATAGGCTCAGAAAAAAGGATTTTATTCTTGCTTGTTAGAGAAAATATATATATTTTTTCTTTAAATGACGCATTCAAATGAAATATAATTTCATGGGTCTAGCAGCAGAGCTGAGTATGCAGGTTGTCAAAAGAATCCTGGATTTATCCCAATTACCTTGTCTTAGGTAAAGTTTCGAATCCTAACAATATTATACTAATTGCTAGGGGTGGGTAGTAACTACATAGTTAGATTTACTCAGATACATTTACTTAAGTAACTTCAAAATAAATCAAAGGCATTTTATGTTTTACTTTTACTTGAGTAAAAATATGTTGAAGTAGTGCTACTTTTACATAAGTAAAAGTTTTGGGTACTCTACCCACCTCTGATAATTGCCAAGCATTTGTCAGTTATGCAGCCAATGAAGATGGTTTTATCCAGACAAGGTTTGTCTCTAAAGGCTACTTAGCCCCTTACGTTTTGACCTCAGTGAGACTGTTATATTAAACTAATATTGCATTAAAAAAGCTAAAAAAGCTAAAACACTAATATCAGGTTTCAATATAAGGAGAAAGGTTTGCGATGAGAATAAGAAATACATTTTTACATTTTTCCAACATAAATAGATGACACCTTCTGACCAAAACACCACTTAATGTACTATGATACAAATATTTGAGTTTGAAAAGGCCAAAGCATGCTGTCATGCAGATGAAGCTATTCCATCAAAGATGCTTGTTTTGGTCTCCTTTATCATTTCATCATTGTTTTTCCAAAGCACCTTTGGCTTGTTGCTAGGTCAGATCTGGAACCACTTTCCTCAATGGGAGCTGGAAGAGGGAGGAGGCAGTGATATGATTGGTCAGACTTACTAATAAACTGAGCTGATGAGTAGTGGGACAGAGGCAGCGCCTAAAGCGCCTAAAGGCACTGGATAGAATGTAAACAAAACTGGTTATTGGAAAGGGTTGTCACGATAACTTCCACTCCACACTGCCCACAGTGTGAGTTTCTGCATGTAGGTGAGCATTTCTGTGATTTGGTGTAGGTGGATTTATCCTTACACAGTTGAGTTTAGTTGATTCAAATCACGTTAGGTTTAAAACTGCTGCCCATAGGCTGCAATATTAATATCAGTGTTTTTGTTTCATTTTCCAGTTACAGATAATGCTTTGAGTGACTTGAAGGTTTATTCTGTAGCAACATATTGTAGGTAAAACCAGAAAATATCCCTTAAATAAATTCCCACTTTTTGGTGTGAGAAAGACTGCATGTCTGCATGTGTGAATTAACATTTGCGTGCAGACATGCAAGCTGTCCCGTATTTGTCAGTATCCATCCAGCCTGCATCAGTGCATTCAAGTGTGTGTGTGAGTGTGTGGGTGCATGTGCGTGTGGGGAGTTCTGGGTCACAATGGCAGCTGGGGGAACACTGCCCGGGTGCTAAAGTTTGATTGGTTGTCACATGCTCATGCTTCTCTCAGTATTGGCTGGAAAATTTACTACTATTTCCATAGTAACAGGACTGTAAACAACAACAAGAGAGGCATGCCTGATTGTTTTACAACTTGTTTATGTGTGTGTTTGTTATTCTTCTGAACATTATTATTTATGGTCTTGTATCCATCGATCTGTTAGGTAAAAACAAAATGTTTGCAAACCCTCATCCACATTGGCAAACCTTCCCAGTGCTCCCAGTAACAGATGGGGGTTGGAAAAAGGCAAAAAAAAAATCACTTGAGGGGATGGAGGAAGCAAAAAAAAAAAAAAAACAGAAAAAACAAAGCCATTATCTAAGATAACAACATGGCAACACACGACACTGAAAGAGAGGGCCTCTGTTACAATGAAGACTTATTGCTCTATTTCAAATCTAGCAGAAAATCACACAGATAGCTTTAATAGTTTTCACACTGATTGTATTTTCAGTTCAGGGCATAGAAAATGCTTTTTATCTGGTGAACAGTTTACAGACAAGAACATGTCTAATCAGTGTTCCAGTACATAAAGAAAAATCTACAGTAATAGATAAAGCTACAGTAACAACCAAAACCTCAAACGGTTAAGCATTTGCTTGCATTTAAAGCCCCAGATTCAATATGTTGTAGAAGCCTCATTGTAATTACAGGGCAGATATTGCTCTACTCTCTTTGCACATTAACAAAAAAAAAAATAAATTAAATGAAATTAAATTCAAGCCTAGACTTTGAGCGTGCCATAGAAACACACCAATGGGCTCTAAACGTCATGCTAAAAGTGTAACCCTGACTGTATGCTGAAGGTTATAGACTTGCTGGAGGGTGAATCTCTGCCCCAGCCACAACAGTCTTTAAAAATATCTTACCGGCTTCCAGCAAAGAAGCCTCTATAGGTTTTCCAGAATCACTTTCTATTAAGCACCATCCATTTTCCTATCAA